AGCCCCAAACCCTTCAAAATCTTTCTTAATTTCCATACTAATTCTCACCCTTTTTACCACAGGGTTGGCACTAGAAGCTTTCTTGGGGCCCATGGTCACCTTATTTTCCAGAAACAGCACCGAAAACACTGTAATAATACGAAATATTCCGAGTGTATGCTTGAATGTTACCGCGGAGGCTAGCTGGTAAACAATGGGACGGGCGGCACATGTGAGGCTGGCTGAGGGCCCACATTGGACGCGTCTCGGACGAAGTTCGCTGAGCGGGTTTTTGTCTACTATGCGGGGCAAAATTTCAGCGAACAAAGCGTTCGCTATGCGGATTGTTCGCTATGCAAGGCGTTCGCTATGCGGGGGTCCACTGTATATATATATATATATATATATATATATATATACATACATATATGTGTGTGTGTGTGTGTGTGTGTTACCACCTCTGCAAATATTCTGAGGACTTAAATTCATCACATTAAAAATAATTCACAATCATTCATCAGTGAGTCATGAACAACAAATCACTTTTTGTTTACCTTAGACTATTATAGCATCACGTCATACCATACAATCATAGCATCACTTTATACCATACAATCACAGCATCACGTCATACCATACGATCACAGCATCACGTCATATCATGCAATCATAGTATCACGCCATATCATACCAACATTAAGTCATGCCTTATCATACGCTAATACTGTACGGCTCCCTTAGCCCCCAGGCAATATATTACAGTCCAATATGTAATTATATGTGAGTACTGAGGTGAGCTTCATGATCAAACACTTCCTGTACTGTACATCAGCATGAGCAGCAACGAAAGGTGCAAACACAATATTGAAAACAGATTTTTGTGTAGTAGAGCATGGTAGAAAATCTCTGTTAAGAAAGTCGTGGATCCATAAGCTATGTAATATGATGCAATAATAATAGAGATGGTTGGTTAAACTGTTGGTGTAAGTTAGTTGCACGTATCCTGACACCAAAGCTCGGCTAATAAGAAGGTTTTTTGATGAACTCCTCAAGTTCTTCCTTGATCTATCACGAAGTCTTTGTTAACAGTGATTTTTTTTAAATAGTAGAGCATGTTAAGAGAGCTTTGAGTACAACTATGTGTTTGCTGTACCTGGACCTACCTACCTTACCTTCAGTGAAGCCTCTGTATGTGACCCCACCCTGTGTGAGTGCGTTTCCTACTGGTCTAGACTATGATTGAGTGATTTATGTGTGTGTGTGTGTGTGTGTGTGTGTGTGTGTGTGTGTGTGTGTGTGTGTGTGTGTGTGTGTGTGTGTGTGTGAGTGTGTGTGTGTGTGTGTGTGTGTGTATGTATGTGTGTGTGTGTGGGGGAGGTGCGTGCTGGTGAGCGTGTACACACCCCTGCAGACAGACCCAAGACAATCAAGCAACTTGCAACCCTCTGCTATAATCACAACCTTCACTTCTTTGTACAGCAATTTTAGAAATTAGTTTCATGTCTGCATTCTCTGTACATGTTGCATGGCCTTGCTGTTGTGAAATGACTCACTTCTTGAAAATAATTATTGATTTTTAATGTAATTAAGACAATGCATTAATGAGTATATTTAAATTAGAAGCAAATATTTCAGTTAATTGTTTTAGAGTTTAAATATAGATAAAAGTAACTTGATGATATATAAACAATTGTTTAATAAAAGTTCCTTTAGTTAATGATATTTATTATATTGTCTTCCTTCCCATCTTCCTCACTCTTGTTATCTCCCTCCATCCTTCTCTTGTTACTTCTCTCCATCCTTCTCTTGTCACTTCTCTCCATCCTTCTCTTGTTACTTCCTTCCATCCTTCTCTTGTTACTTCCTTCCATTCTTCTCTTGTTACTTCTCTCCATCCTTCTCTGTTACTTCTCTCCATCCTTCTCTTGTTACTTCTCTCCATCCTTCTCTTGTTACTTCTCTCCATCCTTCTCTTGTTACTTCCTTCCATCCTTCTCTTGTTACTTCCTTCCATTCTTCTCTTGTTACTTCTCTCCATCCTTCTCTTGTTACTTCTCTCCATCCTTCTCTTGTTACTTCTCTCCATCCTTCTCTTGTTACTTCCTTCCATCCTTCTCTTGTTACTTCCTTCCATTCTTCTCTTGTTACTTCTCTCCATCCTTCTCTTGTTACTTCTCTCCATCCTTCTCTTGTTACTTCTCTCCATCCTTCTCTTGTTACTTCTCTCCATCCTTCTCTTGTTACTTCTCTCCATCCTTCTCTTGTTACTTCCTTCCATCCTTCTCTTGTTACTTCCTTCCATTCTTCTCTTGTTACTTCTCTCCATCCTTCTCTTGTTACTTCTCTCCATCCTTCTCTTGTTACTTCTCTCCATCCTTCTATTGTTACTTCTCTCCATCCTTCTCTTGTTACTTCCTTCCATCCTTCTCTTGTTACTTCCTTCCATTCTTCTCTTGTTACTTCTCTCCATCCTTCTCTTGTTACTTCTCTCCATCCTTCTCTTGTTACTTCTCTCCATCCTTCTATTGTTACTTCTCTCCATCCTTCTCTTGTTACTTCCTTCCATCCTTCTCTTGTTTACTTCCTTCCATTCTTCTCTTGTTACTTCTCTCCATCCTTCTCTTGTTACTTCCTTCCATCCTTCTCTTGTTACTTCCCTCCATCCTTCTCTTGTTACTTCCTCCATCCTTCTCTTGTTACTTCCCTCCATCCTTCTCTTGTTACTTCTCTCCATCCTTCTCTTGTTACTTCTCTCCATCCTTCTATTGTTACTTCTCTCCATCCTTCTCTTGTTACTTCCTTCCATCCTTCTCTTGTTTACTTCCTTCCATTCTTCTCTTTGTTACTTCTCTCCATCCTTCTCTTGTTACTTCCTTCCATCCTTCTCTTGTTACTTCCTTCCATTCTTCTCTTGTTACTTCTCTCCATCCTTCTCTTGTTACTTCTCTTCATCCTTCTCTTGTTACTTCCTTCCATCCTTCTCTTGTTACTTCCCTCCATCCTTCTCTTGTTACTTCCCTACATCCTTCTCATGTTACTTCTCTCCATCCTTCTCTTGTTACTTCCTTCCATCCTTCTCTTGTTACTTCCCTCCATCCTTCTCTTGTTACTTCCCTCCATCCTTCTCTTGTTACTTCTCTCCATCCTTCTCTTGCTACTTCTCTCCATTCTTTTCTTGTTACTTCTCTCCATCCTTCTCTTGTTACTTCCCTCCATCCTTCTCTTGTTACTTCCTCCATCCTTCTCTTGTTACTTCCCTCCATCCTTCTCTTGTTACTTCTCTCCATCATTCTCTTGCTACTTCTCACCATTCTTTTCTTGTTACTTCTCTCCATCCTTCTCTTATTACTTCCCTCCATCCTTCTCTTGTTACTTCCTCCATCATTCTCTTGTTACTTCCCTCCATCATTCTCTTGTTACTTCCCTCCATCCTTCTCTTGTTACTTCCCTCCATCCTTCTCTTGTTACTTCCCTCCATCCTTCTCTTGTTACTTCCTCCATCCTTCTCTTGTTACTTCCTCCATCCTTCTCTTGTTACTTCCATCCATCCTTCTCTTGTTACTTCTCTTCATCCTTCTCTTGTTACTTCTCTTCATCCTTCTCTTGTTACTTCTCTCCATCCTTCTCTTGTTACTTCTCTTCATCCTTCTCTTGCCACTTCTCTCCATCCTTCTCTTGTTACTTCCCTCCATCCTTCTCTTGCTACTTCTCTTCATCCTTCTCTTGCCACTTCTCTCCATCCTTCTCTTGTTACTTCCCTCCATCCTTCTCTTGTTACTTCCCTCCATCCTTCTCTTGTTACTTCTCTCCATCCTTCTCTTGTTACTTCAATCCATCCTTCTCTTGTTACTTCCTCCCATCCTTCTCTTGTTACTTCCCTCCATCCTTCTCTTGTTACTTCTCTTCATCCATCTCTTGTTGCTTCTCTCCATCCTTCTCTTGTTACTTCCCTCCATCCTTCTCTTGTTACTTCCCTCCATCCTTCTCTTGCTACTTCTCTCCATCCTTCTCTTGTTACTTCCTTCCATCCTTCTCTTGCTACTTCTCTCCATCCTTCTCTTGTTACTTCCTTCCATCCTTCTCTTGTTACTTCTCATCATCCTTATCTTGTTACTTCCCTCCATCCTTCTCTTGTTACTTCCCTCCATTCTTTTCTTGTTACTTCTCTCCATCTTTCTCTTGTTACTTCTCTTCATCCTTGTCTTGTTACTTCCTTCCATCCTTCTCTTGTTACTTCTCTTCATCCTTCTCTTGCCACTTCTCTCCATCCTTCTCTTGTTACTTCCTTTCATCCTTCTCTTGTTACTTCTCTCCATCCTTCTCTTGTTACTTCTCTTCATCCTTCTCTTGCCACTTCTCTCCATCCTTCTCTTGTTACTTTTCACCATCCTTCTCTTGTTACTTCCCTCCATCCTTCTCTTGTTACTTCCCTCCATCCTTCTCTTGTTACTTCTCTTCATCCTTCTCTTGCCACTTCTCTCCATCCTTCTCTTGTTATTTCCCTCCATCCTTCTCTTGTTACTTCCCTCCATCCTTCTCTTGTTACTTCTCTTCATCCTTCTCTTGTTACTTCTCTCCATCCTTCTCTTGTTACTTATCTCCATCGTTCTCTTCTTACTTCTCTTCATCCTTCTCTTGTTACTTCTCTCCATCGTTCTCTTCTTACTTCTCTTCATCCTTCTCTTGTTACTTCCCTCCATCCTTCTCTTGTTACTTCAATCCATCCTTCTCTTGTTACTTACCCATCCTTCTCTTGTTACTTCCTTCTATCCTTCTCTTGTTACTTCTCTCCTTCCTTCTCTTGTTACTTCCCTCCATCCTTCTCTTGTTACTTCCCTCCATTCTTTTCTTGTTACTTCTCTCCATCCTTCTCTTGTTACTTCTCTCCATCCTTCTCTTGTTACTTCCCTCCATTCTTTTCTTGTTACTTCTCTCCATCCTTCTCTTGTTACTTCCCCCCCCATCCTTCTCTTTTGTGTCTTCATCCCTGCTGTGATCTCCTGCCCTTCCTTCCGCTCACCCCTGTTCCTGCTGTGGCCCTCCTGCTGGCCTGTCACAAGCAGAAGCGGCGAGAGGAACAGGAGCGTCGTGCCCGCAGAGGGGACACCGACCCTCGATATGAATACATCTTCCAGGTGCTGGCTGCCTGTACAGGCATCGCTAGGCATCAGGTTATGGACTACGTCTTCGAGGAGAACCTGGTCAGTACCTTGTGTATATGTGTGTGTGTGTGTGTGTGTGTGTGTGTGTGTGTGTGTGTGTGTGTGTGTGTGTGTGTGTGTGTGTGTGTAATCACCTAGTTGTGGTTGCAGGGGTCTAGTCATAGTTCTAGTCCTACCTCTTCGCTGGTCGCTTCAAGGTCTACGCTCTCCCTACTTCATGAGTTTTATCATATCTCTTCTTAAAGCTATATATTGATCCTGCCTCTACTACATCCCTCTCCAGATTGTTCAACTTCCTGACAACTCTACGATTCAAAAAATACTTCCTAACATCCCTGTGACTCATCTGTGTTTTCAACTTCCACTTGTGACCCTTGTTGCTGTGCCCATTCTCTGAAACATTCTGTCCTTATCCACTTCGTCAATTCCTTTCAGTATTTTATATGCCGTCATCATGGTTCTGGTTGATGTGCGCCTCAGGAGATGTGCTTGGTATAATACTCACCCCAAGATCCTTTTCCTTGAGTGAGGTTTGCAGCCTTTGGATCCTCTAGCATGTATTCCGTTAGTGGTTTTCATTGACCCTCCCCAATCTTCATGATTCTCAACTTGGTGGAGTTAGACCTCAGGAACCAGTTGACAGAACAGGCTTGTACCCTGTCCAGATACATATGTAGTCCTACATGATCCTCATCCATATGAATTCTCCACATTAGCTTCACATCGTCTGCAACAGGGAGACCTCTGTGCCCCCTATGTGTGTGTGAGTGTGTACTCACCTATTTGTACTCATCTATTTGTGGTTGCAGAGGTAGAGACTCAGCTCCTGGCCCTGCCTCTTCACTGATCACTACTAAGTCCTCTCTTTCCCTGCTCCATGAGCATTATCATACCTCGTGTTAAAGCTATATATGGTTCCTGCCTCCACTATCTCACTTTCCAGACTATTCCACTTCCTGACAACTCTGTGACTGAAGAAATACTTCCTAACATCCCTTTGACTCATCTGAGTCTTCAACTTTCAATTGTGACTGCTTGTTTCTGTGTCCCAACTCTGGAACATCCTGTCTCTGTCCACCTTATCTATTCCTCGCAATATTTTGAATGTCGTTATCATGTCTCCCCTAACCCTCCTGTACTCCAGTGTCGTCAGGCCTAATTCCCTTACCCTTTCTTAGTAGGATATTCCCCTTAGCTCTGGAACTAGCCTTGTTGCAAACCTTTGCACTTTCTCTAATTTCTTGATGTGCTTGATCAGGTGTGGGTTCCAAACTGGTGTTGCATACTCCAGTATGGGCCTGACATACACGGTGTACAGTGTCTTGAATGATTCCTTACTAAGGTATCGGAACGCTGTTCTCAGGTTTGCCAGGCGCCCATATGCTGCAGCAGTTATCTGGTTGATGTGTGCTTCAGGAGCCGTGCTTGGTATTATACTCACCCCAAGATCTTTCTCCGTGATTGAGGTTTGAATCTTCCAAATTTAATGAAACTTTAATTTTTAGCATCTTGGTAAAATTGTGGTTCTGGGGAAATATTGGGGTTGGGGGAGCGGTAGCCCTGGTGGGGGCTTAGGGTGAATTGTTGTGGGGGTGGGGTTTGCGATGAGGGGGTGGGGGCAGAGTGCCCATAGGGGGTTGCCTCTCATTCCTCCTTTTGTCTTTGTACCTTCTTTGTACCATCCTTTCTTCTTGTGTTCTGTCTCGATCGAGGTACACTCTCCGGTACTCCGGTTTGTCCCTCTGTTGTGCTTTCTCCTGCAGGATCCTGGCTTGAGCTGATTCTCCTTTGAAGATTACTTTGAGAGGCCATTTTTTTTCCACTTGCAAACCACCGAATTCTCCAAAAATTTGTCACCTGGGTCATGTCATCTCGCCTGTTGCTCTCATGATGCCTTCAGTCACTTTTTTTTCCTCCTGTTTTCTTTCATAATATGTTTCCCCTTCGACTTCCTGGAGCCCATACACAAAAATTGACCTCTCCCTTTCATTCTCCCACTGTGTCTCCCTTTGCATCCCCTGAGGTGTTTTAGTTCCTTCCATTGAAGCATTCCTGCCTTTGATCTTTTACCTGGCTGAAGCCCATATGCTCAGTGGTCTGTCTTTCCTGCTCAGCTGTTTCTGACCACTGCAGTTATTTGTTAGAGTCTCTGCTTAGAGCATAGCTCCTTCATTACCTTAAGACCTCTCGTTTGTTCTTAGTGTGCTCCTCGTCTTTTTTCTGGGTCCCACGTGGGTCTGATAGGAACTTTGCATACAGTATAGCTCCTTTGCTCCCTACAGGCCCCTCGTCTGTAACTGATATAGATTTTTTCAGTTCCTCTTCTAAGCACTGTATCTTAGCTTCTGCTGCTATGGCTTGTAGCTCCTATATCCTGCTCTCTGCAGCTATCCTCTCCTCTATTTTCTTGCCAAGCTCTTCTAACTTCCTTCCCCACACTTCCTCCCTTTTTGTGAGTTCTGCCTCCCAATCTTCCCTTCCAGATACATCCACCAGATTCCTGGTGGATGTATTTGGATGTTTTTTTTTTTTTACCATGGAAAGAGGTTATGTATTTTTAGGAGTGAGTGTGTGTGGGTGTTAAGGTGGGTGTTTTTTGTATAGAAGGAAAGGGAGAGGGAGGTAGGGAGGGGGAGAAGAGAGGGGAAGTGGGATTATGGGGTATAAGGAGAGAGAGGGAAAGGAAATGACTGATAAGCAAGGAGGAAGAGGAGGAAAAAGAGGGGGAAAAGATGAAGAGGGAGTGGAGTGTGTACTCACCTATTTGTACTCACCTATTTGTGGTTGCAGGGGTCGAGTCACAGCTCCTGGCCCCGCCTCTTCGCTGATTGCTACTAGGTCCTCTCTCTCCCTGCCCCATGAGCTCTATCATACCTCGCCTTAAAACTATGTATGGTTCCTGCCTCCACCACATCACTTTCTAGGCTATTCCATGGCCTGACTACTCTATGACTGAAGAAATACTTCCTAACATCCCTTTGATTCATCTGAGTCTTCAACTTCCAATTGTGACCTCTTGTGTCTGTGTCCCATCTCTGGAACATCCCGTCTTTGTCCACCTCGTCTATTCCGCGCAGTATTTTATATGTCGTTATCATGTCTCCCCTGACCCTCCTGGCCTCCAGTGTCGTCAGGCCGATTTCCCTCAACCTTTCTTCATAGGACAATCCCCGTAGCTCTGGGACTAGTCTTGTTGCAAACCTTTGCACTTTCTCTAATTTCTTGACGTGCTTGACTAGGTGTGGATTCCAAACTGGTGCTGCATACTCCAGTATGGGCCTGACGTAGATGGTGTACAGAGTCTTAAACGAATCCTTACTGAGGTATCGGAACGCTATCCGTAGGTTTGCCAGGCGCCCGTATGCTGCAGCAGTTATCTGATTGATGTGCGCCTCAGGAGATATGTTCGGTGTTATACTCACCCCCAGATCTTTTTCCTTTAGTGAGGTTTGCAGTCTTTGGCCATCTAAACTATATTGTGTCTGCGGTCTTCTTTGCTTCCCCAATCTTCATGACTTTGCATTTGGCAGGGTTAAATTCAAGGAGCCAGTTGCTGGACCAGGCTTGTAGCCTGTCCAGATCTCTTTGTAGTCCTGCCTGATCCTCGTCCGATTCGATTCTTCTCATTAACTTCACATCGTCTGCAAACAAGGACACTTCTGAGTCTATCCCTTCCGTTATGTCGTTCACGTATACCAAGAACAGCACAGGTCCTAGGACTGACCCCTGTGGAACCCCGCTTGTCACAGGCGCCCACTCTGACACCTCGTCGCGTACCATGACTCGTTGTTTCCTCCCTGTCAGATATTCTCTGATCCATTGCAGTGCCTTTCCTGTTATGTGTGCCTGGTCCTCTAGCTTTTGCAGTAACTCTTGTGAGGAACTGTGTCGAAAGCCTTCTTGCAGTCCAAAAATACGCAGTCGATTCCACCCCCTCTCTCTTGTCTTACTTCTGTCACCTTGTCATAAAACTCTAGTAGGTTTGTGACACAGGATTTTCCTTCCCTGAAACCGTGCTGGTTGTCAATTTTTACACTTGTTTCTTCCGGGGTGCCCCCCCAAACTCTCCTCCTGATGATCTTCTCCTGACCTTGCATACTATACGCGTTAGAGATACAGGTCTGTAGTTTAGTGCCTCATGTCTGTCCCCCTTTTTTAAAAAATTGGGACTACATTTGCCATTTTCCTATCCCTCAGGGAGTTGCCCAGTTTCAATGATGTGTTGAAGTGTGTGTGGGGTGTGTGTGTGTGTGTGTGTGTGTGTGTGTGGGGTGTGTGTGTGTGTGTGTGTGTGTGTGTGTGTGTGTGTGTGTGTGTATGTGTGTGTGTTTATGTGTGCGTGTGTGTGTGTGTATGTGTGCACGTACGTGTGCGTGTGTGCATGTATGTGTTTGTGAACTTGTCTGTGTGTGTGTGAGTGTGCATGGAGGTGCAAGGGGGGAGGCACTGGCAAAGGGGGAGATAGGGGGGAAAAAGGACAGGGGGGTGCAGGGAGAGAGGGGAGAGGAAGTTGGGGAAAGGCTAGGGGTGAGGGGGAAAGAGGGAAAGACACAGGAAGAGGAGAAGGGGAAAAGGAAGATGAAGGGAAGATGGAGGGGAAGAGAGAGGGAGATAGATTGACAGAGGGAGGGGAGAGAGAGAGAGAGAGAGAGGGGGGAGAGAGTGAGAAAGAGAGACGGGGAGAGAGAGAGAAAGAGAGGGGAAAGGGGAGAGAGAGAGAAAGAGAGAGAGAAAGTGAGAAGAGAGAGAGAGAGAGAGAGGGAAGAGAGGAGGGAGGAGGGGAGAAAAGAGAGAAGAGGAGAGAGAGAGAGAGGAGGAGAGAGAGAGAGAGAGAGAAATTTAAAGGGGAATGGGGGAGGGACGAGAGGGAAGGATGGGGTTCGGGTATATTGTGGTCAGTTTACACGAGCCTGCTGGCTGTTCATGTATGTGTGTGCATACACACAAGTCAATAGTGTGTGTGTGTTTGTGTGTGTGTGTGTGTGTGTGTGTGTGTGTGTGTGTGTACTGGCTGTGTGCATTAAGTTACTATCGACCAG